AAATCTTCATCGAATATACAAAACAAATAGAAATTATATTACACTAGCTGTTTCTTGGCGATTTCATCCGGGAGAAACGTTTTTCATTCGCCCTTTGATGTTAATGAATGTAGTTCCAGAGATTAGCGTGTTTTGTTTACTCTTCAGTTTAGTTATATTTTAATAGACTTTATGCATCCTGAGTTTAGCGCGATAACGCCGTATTACATTCGTCGATTCGGATGTCTCTCATTCTTCTCGATGTTTATCTCTTAATAAGATATTGCGCGAACGGCGCAACGCTTCGAATTGTAAATAGGGATTTGCTGTTCTAACATAACTCTCACTCGACAGATGGCGTTTTGTTTAATCTTTTTTACTACTTTCTGTAAGATAGGATCTTTCGCTTGTAAGGATTCACGGCGTTGCTAAGCCGGATCAGAGGAACGCCAACAATTTATATCTTTTTATATTTAATATACACGTTACAGCATACAGACGGTTATAGTATATTAGTCATAATATATACGATTTTTTATACATATATATATTTAATATATGTTATAAATTTTAAGAGAATTAAGTATAATAGTAACAGAGTACTGCCAGCTTTTCTCTGATTCGTTGGCAGCGCCGCAATGTACCGATCTACCTCTGCATGCCTCCATGGATACAGTAATTATAGTTTTTGTTAATATTTTCTATGTTATATGATAGCGATAAATATAAGGGACATAGGTTTTACATAGTTAATGTGCTGTCACGTTGATACTGCCTATTTATAACGTCTGCATGTATTCGGTTTTAATGTAGAATGGACACTTGAAATCTGAATTCAATGTATTGGACCATATTGACATAATAAACAATCTGAATAGTTCGACCTGACGTGTTTTTTTTAACTCACCTTTGAAATCTTCTACATTATGTGCATTCATGTATATTTGTCTATTTTCAATTCGTTATTGATTTTAGAGTTTCTTTACAGAGAGGAGATTTTGAATGCAACTAGTAAAGTTAACATAAAAATTGATGTCAATTGTGTTTACAATTATATACAGGTCTATATTACAGGTCGCCGGTTACTACTGTAAATTTTATTTTTCTTTTTGTTTGTAAAAAAACATTGCCCTAGAAAAAAATAGTAATTTAAAACTGCCTTTTTTCGTTTGATCGTAATTTGACAAGCCTTTGACCGCTGATGAATTAATTTCTACGATTAGTAGTATTTATGAAACCGGGCGTTAACTAAACATGACCAGAGAAGAACCGGCAAGAAACTCTGTGGTCTTGTTATCTCTTTTTTTTAATGATAAAATCATACAAACTTATTCAGTATAAAATCAGCAGCAGCCAGGGGACTTGCAAGTGCAGAGGAAGTCATTTCCACACACCTTTCGACATTGTTGTGGACTCTCTCCTCTTTCAAACGCTGGTTCCTTCCATCGTTTGAAATGTATTAACCCGTCTGCATCGATCTTTACTTCTGATTACAAGGATGACTCTCACTCAACCACTCTTACATCATCGCTTAACCTTAGATAAATGTAAGCAAATCAGTGTTAAAAATACCATAGTTTAATTAATATATATATTAACTACTGCTGCTGAGTATAGCTTAAGCCTTTTATTACTTATACTTCGCATTAACTAGTCTGATATAAGTATTCTTTTTTTTATGTGAGGAAGGTGGCAAGCGAGCTGGGGGTTCACCTGATGTTATAACCGCCGCTCATGGATATTTACAACACCCGTAGGGTTGCAAATTGCGGCTACCAGGGCCGGATTTAGAGATCTGGAGGCCTCTGGGCAACAAAGAATTGGAGGCCCCTTGGCCCCAAATTATTTTCTATTGATTTCTGTTAATATTTAATGTAATCGTGTTTGTACAAAGCACTGCAGGTAAAAGTAAAACGCGAAAAAAATATGAAGGGAAAAGTTGTTTATTTGAATTTTTTTTCCTAAGTCCCTATTGTGGGGGCCCCTCTTTTGTGGAGGCCTCGGGGCTGTTGCGCCGGATGCCCTCCCCTAAATCCGGCCCTGAGTATAACACTTCCACACATATTATTTGTTAAAACAAAATTGTGGCCAGAATAATTTGTTCGTTCAAGAATTGTGTAAATTTAACAATATCGAATAAATTTATGGGTCTAGAAAAGTTATTGAAAATTAATTACGATACTATTAAGCATCAATTTGCATATTGTTTCGAAATAAATTGCGAATATTAGGTGAAAAGCGATACTGCGGTGAAAAAAATAATTCTGGCATCTTTAAAGACCACTTACCCGGCAGTCAATTATATACTTTAACCGTTTCTTGCATCGGTTAAGGTACCAACGTTTTGAGTCCTATTTCGACTCTTCGTTTGTGGCGTTGATCGTATTATTGTCTGTGGTGGAGGCACACCTTCCACCGTTTGGTCGATTCATCCGGGACAGTAGGTACCACCTTCGGGAAAATAACGGCCTCTTGGAAGACCGACGCTGACCAGAGAAATTATTCACAGATTCGTGTTTCGTCTGCTGAATTAAGTAATTACATTCTAGAATTCTTTTATACAGCGTATCGTTACCATCGCGACAATAAATGAACACACATATAGGGGATAACTTTTTAAAGTTGTATCAAAAATTTAAATTCTTTAAACATCAATATTTACAGAGTTATTAAATTTTCCAAAACAAAGAATTTTAGAACATCCTTACCTATAAAAGCGTAACGTAAAGTTCATTAGTAAAGGTCACAAAGCATATGAATGGGTTGAATTAATTTAGAAGAGACAAAACATACTGTTAGATACTGTATAGAAGGCGAGGCTTATAATACGACGCTGTGGCGCGAGTTGTATAGGATGTTACAAATTTTGTTTCTTTTTTACTTAAACAGTTTGTTTGAAAAATATTTTTTTTAAATTATGGATTTTGTTTAACGTTAATATTTTTTTATGATTATTGGCAAGTAGCGTTAGACGTGTCTTCATTTATTGTCGCGATGGTAACGACACGCTGTATATAGAAACTCGCCTGTAACTAACCCCACTGGCGTCGTACATGACCAAAGAGGTAACGTATATAGGTGAAAAGACTAAGTTTATATTCTGAAAAAGAAAGTGTGTCGGAATTTTCCACCATCAACTTAAAATCATCGAAGCACAGCTGGAGACACCTATTTTTACTTTAATTCATATATTTTTGTGAAACTCACAGTTAGAACAGTGTTATTGTATATAATAATACGGTACGGTATCATCAACTGCATTGAGATTCCATGAAAAATTATTTGTACACGTGGCGTAATTTCGACATTTCAATATTAAAATCCAATTATGTTGTAATACGTTTGAAGAATAATAATAATCACATTATTATTTATTCATTGTTAGTACAACATAACTGTAAAAATAGTGTTGGAAAAAAATACTGAGTTTCGATTTTTAACAACATGTAGAATGATAAAGTGATACGATGTTAATAAATATTATAAATCAGAGTTTACAATAGTTAACAGTGTTGTCACTGCATATTCATAATTGTAATAAGTTAGCAAGATCTTACTGAAACTAATGTTTATACTGCTAAAGAACAAAGTTCACAAACATAATTATCAATTATCACTCTTGTGCGGTGGCGTTGGTGTTATAATTATGATAGCAAATGAAACTACACTGACGAGGTAAACATCATTTATTACCATTGTAATACGCGCCTTACAAGCTATTCATAAATTTATTTAGCGAATCTGGCTTGTCCGTTGTAACATCGCATCTAAGTCGCTGTGTTGATGACGGGAATTCGTTACAAATAAGCTATACCTTATAAAAATTATCAAAGGAAACTGGTACTATGTAGAATGGAAGTCTCTAAAATATAGATCGGCTCGTTGACATGGAAGCTGAAAATACTCCGGAATAAATAAAGCATTCCGTGCTCTATGTACAAGAACAGAATAATAGCATTCGAATATCATAATTCACCCTATGACTAATAGACGAAAAAATCGAAAAAAAAAAAAAGCGATTACAAAATTAGTTTAGATTCTATTGTTTATAATATGATCGTTACTAACTATAGGAAGCCGGTTTCGTTTGAACTACAGATTACACTTGAAGAAGCCCAATTTTCCCGCTCAAAATCACCGCCATTGAAATTTTCCTACTTTCCACTCGTAACTAACATTTAAAAAACTGACTAGACGTAAAAAACTGGAGCATACGCTCAATTATGCTGTAATTTTTTACTCCGAAGCGACGCGACCCCGCGGCATTATACACTATCATGAGGAATTACGAACAATTATGAAAAATATACAAAGTACGTGAAACGGTATCATGGTAACCAACTTATCTAGGCGAATATATCGAGTGAATTATTTACAATGATTATAATATCGTAGCGTAATTCATAGCGAGAAAAGCTCATGTTTCTCGGCCGTGAATCCATTAGTAGACATTTAATTTCGAATACTTGTTTGCGGTGAAACGTAGCGTGTTTAAAGTAACGCAGAAATAAAATATTTCTAAATTGGTTTAACTGGATACTGAGATGCCGGTCAGGTTACAAGGTACATAGCTTACTAACTAAAATTGCAGTCAATAGTGAATCATTATCATATACTTTTTCTAGTTGAATAAATGCAAGAAATATACATAAATAAATATACTATTTTCATAGATAATCATAATGTTCTAATCAAAAATAATAATAAGTCACGCCAAATCAATGCTCATCCCGCGAACATTCCAAATGGGTCAACCGAGAGAAGTTCACAACAAATCATTGTCGATGTTTCAACACTGCCACAGAATTCACTATATAATTGACGTATTAAGTTCAAACTTAAGGAATCAACTTAAAACGAGTCACTTTAAACATCATCGGTACAAATGTTTTTGTATTTAATTAAATTAAAAAAAAAAGGGCCCCATTAAGGAATCATGAGAAATCAGTTTCGGTAACAAGGTCATCACGTCCACACAGTGCATAGTGATAAATATGTAGAGCAGTCGATTGGTTGAGTTATGAAGTGATTTGGCCACTGGTTTGCTTTTTCGCGAATGTCCTATTTGCCGGCTTCTTGCTAGAGCTGGTCGCTGTGGACGCTTTGGCGGGGGTGCTCTTGGGCCTCAGGCTGGGTATTTGCGAGACCCTCATCCCGATTGCGGTCTTCTGCTTTGGCGCGGCGATCTGGCTGAGCTTGGGCTGGCCCTCGAAGGTCGAGCTCCTTATCAGCTTCGGCGGTTCCGCCTTGCCGTCTATCGCGACCTTCTTGTTCGCCGTTCTCCTGTCCGTCTTCCGCCAGAGGTTGGCTATTTTGCTCTCCACGTCTCTCGTGCTGGACTTGGCCGAGGGGATTGAGTTGACGCTGGAAGTGCTTCCCTGTCTAGAGCCTCTGGCTAGGATTATCGTTTTCCCGCTGTCGTTGCTCTGCAGGCTGTGGTTGGATGGGGAGTTCTTCATCGCGGGCTCTGCGGTCCTCTTCACGTTCGGCTTTTGCTGTTTCCCCGTATTGGTGCTCGTCTTGGCCAGTGGGGGGCGCGCGTATCGCGACAACTGCGGTAGTCGCGACGGCGACGTGTTCGCTTTGCTTATTGTCGCGGTCTTCGCTGTTTGCGGCGGTGGGGTCTTCTGGTCCGGCTCTGGTAGGTCCTTGGGCGGCACTGTGCTGTCCTCTTTGGTGAAAGTGCCCTGCCTGGTCAGGGGCAGTGGTTTGCTGGCGGGTGCGGAGACCGTTGCGGTGGTCTTCTGCGCAGTCTTAGTGGGCGATCTGTTCGGCAGCTTTTTCGGTGACGCGCTCGGGTTAGCCACTCTAGTGGCGGGTAGCGGTTTGACGGGTTTGGCGGCTGTCTTCGGCACGTTAGTCGCCGATTTTGGAGTCGGCGTGGTTCTCGCTACGGCTTTCGCCGGCGGCGTTGTTTGCTTCTTGGCGTTTGGCGCCGTCCGCCTGTATGGCGAGACGTACATCGCCTTCTTCCTACCCCTGATCGCTTTCGGGGCGTCGTGCTCTCTCTCGCCGGACTCGTTCGAATCCACGCTCCCGTCTCTGGTTTCGGGCTTGATGATCTTCGGCTTCGGCCGCGCCGCCGGCGCGTCCGTGTCGGATCCCGACCGCGCCCTATCTTCCGGACTGTCGCCCTCGTAGCTGGCGAAGTCGCTGCTCGCGTTCTGGCCGTCGGCGCGCGCGACCCCGTAGGAGGCGCTCATCTCGATGTTCTTGAGATTGTTCGCCACGCACATGTCGGCGGACGAGCGGTCCTTATAGCGCATCCTGTACGTGCCCATTCGAGACGAGCTCGTTTCGCATTCCTCCTCGTTGTGGCCGCTGTCGCCGTCCCTGAACACGTCGTCGATAATCAGCTGGTGGTTGGGCTCGTTCGACGACAGGCTGTCGTAGCCCGTGGTCGTCTCGACGTTCTCGAAGTTGGCGTCCCTCGTCACGAAGGTGGGCGACGGCGGTATGTCCTCGCCGAGCGTCCGCGTCCGGAACCGCTCGGCGTCCTCGGCGCGTTTCTGCTTCATCGTCTTCTTGGCGTCGAGTCGCCGTTTGAGGTCCTCGATGCCGGGGTCCCGCGGCGGCTGCGGCGCCAGCAGGCCGTGGACGCTGACGGTCTGCGTCTGGTACCTGGCGCGGTCCTCCATCCGCCGCTGCTTCGCGTTGAGCCGCCGGCGCGTCTTCGGCTCCGAACTAGCCGTCACGTACTCGTCCGAGCGGTCGCTCTCGGACTTGGTCCAAGTGACGAACTGCTGTTCAGTGTCCGCCGTCTCTAAGACGACCCCGCTCTCCGACACGGTGTCGGTGATCGTGTAGGTCTGGTATCGGTTGTTGGACGCCCTCCTCTTCTCTTTGGGCGTCAGATACTTGGGGTCGCGTTGCCTTTTGGGCGTCGACTCCACGCTGCTTATGTCAGATGGCAGAGGAGTGCAGTTCTCGGAGCCCGATGGGATGTCCGTGACGACGTTCAGCGTGTTCGACGTGCAGTCCTCGTAGGCCTGATGCGCCGTGGTCGGCTCCACCTCGATGGTTGACTCGGCCATCTCGTCGAACAGCGACGGCGGGTTGACCTTGTCGAGGTCGTGGAAAACGTTCGTGAAGGTGTTGCACATAGGGAAGTCCTGCACTGGTAGCTTGAAGTCGAACACGACGGGTGTTTTCTCCCTCAGGTCGGCGACTTCGGAGACTATACTGGACACCGATATCATGCTGCTCTCCATGTCGATGTGCTCCATCTCGGACGGTGGTTTCACGTTATCCAGCAGACTGATGGGTATGCTGTCCAGGTGCTCCGAGCTGCCCTGGTGGTAGGAGTTGGTTAGAGCGCGTTTAACCATCAACGCGGCGGGAAGAGACTTCTTTCGGCCCCTGGACTTCTTCGGCGTATGCGTCTCGTCCCAATGTCCCGACGCGCTCAAAGATAACAGACTGCCGAGATTCGATGGCGGTTTTACGTTGTCCAGGTCCAGGGAGGCTATCGATGTCACGCTGGCCTCCATAGCGTATTGGGAGTGTTTCAATTGGGCGGCCAGTCTTGCGGCCTCCTTCTCTATAGCCAACGACAGTATCGAGTCGAACTTGTGCTCGCTGTCGTCCATATTGAATGTGGGTTCGACGCTATCGATGTGCACATCGTCCGGTTTGTGGTCCGTCGCGTTGACGTGCAACTCTTTGCCGTCTAGTTTGTCGGTCAAGTCGGGGCGCGAGAACAGGTTGGTCGCTTCGCTCTTCTCCAAGAGGTCTGGTAGCGCCATGTTGGCCTCGACGACCTCGCTGCGGATGGAGGAGAGCAGGTGCACGGAGCCGCTGATCGTCGGGAAGGTGACGTCGTCGGGGCACGTGTTGTCGTTCCACGTGTCTTCGGTCCTCTTGGAGTGGTCCTCCCGCAGGGTGCTCCCTTCGCGCCTGACGTCCGTCCACTCGAGCTTTGCCTTCCCGGTGAGGGTGGGCTCGCACTCATCGTCGGGGCCGTCGTCGCTCCACGAGCCATCGAGCACATCTGCGTACGACTCGTTCGACCTGTTCAGCTCGTCCCTCACGTCGGACTCCGCGGTCGTGTTGGCGGAGCGGGGGGCGAGGCACTCGTTGGAGCGCCCCAGCGGCGCGGCGTCCGTCGGCTCGTCGCCCCCGCCGCGCGGCGCGTCGGGCGAGCGGCGGGAGAGGGGCCGGGGCGGGGGGGCGTCGTGTTGGTCAGAGCCAGTTGGGCGCGGCGCGGTGTCGGCGTGCTCGTCTGCGGGCGCGCGGGCCGCAGACGGCGCCGGGACGTTTTTTGGCTGGGGCCTGCCCTCGCCGGCGCCGCGCGCTATCACCTCCTCCAGGATCGCCCTGTCCCTGGAGTCCTCGCCGACCATCCTGTCCAGGGCGCCCTGCGCGGCCTTGCCCTCCTTGCGCCGCCGCCGGTGCGCCTCCCTCGCCTCCAGGCGGTCGTCGCTCCGCACGCGCAGCTTGTCGTCCCGCTTCTTCGGCTGCGCCTTGGACATGCCCATCCGCACGCACCTCTCGAACACCTCCTTGTCGGTGGAGCCGAACGACTCGTTGCTGAGCGAGCTGACGGAGCTGCTCCTGTCGAGCTCTCTCCTGGGGTCCTCCATCCGGACGGGCAGGCTGGGCGGGCCGTCGTCGTAGAAACGCGACGGGTGCCCTCGGAGCCTCGAGTGGTGCGCCAACGAGTGTCCCGACGTCTCCCCGTGGTAGGAGTACGGCGATCTTGTGAGGCTCAGCGCTGCCAGGTCTTGTTCCAGCTTTTTCACCTTGCTGGAGGGCTTGATGCTGTAGGCGCCCGAGGCGAGATTCTTCTCGAACTCCGGATCCTTGAGTTTGGTGCGCTGCTGGGCTATTTTGTCGCTGCGGTCGAGCGACTTGTGGTGCCTGCCGTGCCTTGTGGCCTCCGATGGTCTTTCGACCGAATGGGCCTTACCTTTGTTGCTCTCCAGTGTGAACTTCGCGCGGGGATTGACGCTCGAAAGGCCTGCTTTCACGGTTTCCTCGAAGATCTCCCTGTCGGTGGAGCCGAACGAGTCGAGGCTGAGCGAGCTCAACGAGTCGTTCCTGCCCAAGTTGGTTGTGACGGGCAATTTCGGTTTCTCCCGAGTCGTGCTTTTGACCTGCAGGCGGCTTTGGTGTTTTCGTCCTGCATAAGTTTATACGTTTAAATATTTAGTAATATAAGCAACGATGAACAAAATTTATGGACTATTTATTGTCTATGATTAGACAACTTCATATAACCAGTCACTGTGAAATTCAAGGGCTGTGGTTAATTTTTGATTTGTCTCCCAGGTCAACTCTTAAGGAAACAGAGGCAGCTCTGCAGATGGGGCTTACCTGGCGGTTGTGGCAGCAGCGGCGGCTGGTGGGGGCCCGGCTTGGGTGGCAATGGCGGGGCGCGGTCCTCGCTGCTGCTACGGCTACCACTGCCACTGCGACTGCCAAACAATTAGCGCGATTATAGAATTCCGCGTTTGCATGGGCTTTACTATTCGCGATTACGTTATAATCTACATTAAGTTGTGGCTACTTACATTTTAGACCACGCCAACGTTTTATTGTAATTAGGATACTGCCAATTAGGATATGACAAACTGATATTGAAATAAGTTTTTAAATTTCTGTCAACGAACCATTTTTAATTGCGTCATCTAATAACCCGAAGGAATGAATTTTAACGTCGAAAACTTGACGATGCACCAATAATTGAAATTGTTTAAACTATATCAATTTTAGTTTAAAGGGTTAAACTATACAAAATTTTCAGTTTAAAGCAATCAAATCATTTTGGTTTTTAAAAACTTATTAGCTTAGATTGAATAAAGGCGAGCGCCCGGACACTGAGCTATCACGGCTCCAGTTTATATACCCTTTTATATGATTTTTTATAAAAAATGATTAAGTCTAGTTTACCTGTCTCTCATGTTCCTGTAGTCCTGCGACATCTTGACTGTCTCAGTCGACGATCGTAAATACGGTGGCAGTGATCTCTGTAAATATAAAAGCGAAATATATGTTAGTTTGACCGTAAATTTTACGAAACTATGGTAAGTTCCGTAAATTTTACAATTGAGTACAAACAAAACCAAAAAGAAATCCTTCGAAAAATCTATATATGCAAGAGGAGGATAGCAATCCTCTCGTTTTAGCATACGAACATTTGTAAAATTCCCAATTATTCATTATAATTGCAAGTATAAGCTTGGAACACAGAGGCACTCCCTTATTATAGCATCATGTTCCTAAACACTACTAAAGTACAGTCCAAATGACATATAATGGCTACACAGATATTCGGTTCCATATTGGAGTCTCCAAAAAAAAAAAAAAAAATTGGTGGTTATATTAAAATTGCGATATCAATATAATTTATCATCAACTGTGGTTGAGCCACGAAACAGCTTTAGTGTTGCACGATTGAGCAGCTTGTCCAGGTAAGCACCACTGCCTCACAGAACACCATCGTGAAGTGGTAGTGCTATACTCTCGATTTCATCTGGGTTCTTTCAGTGGGTGAGGTAAACGGGATCTTCTTTTCACATTAAAAAAAAAGTTGTCAACAATTAAAGACCAGTCGACTGGCCACTAAACGTAAAAAATTACGATTCTTATACATGTACGTAATTTTCTTATACATAAAGAAATACTTACATAAACATCGTCCCTGACCGAGTACGGATTGATGGAAGACACCTCTGAAGGTGGACCTTTGTTTTTAACGACCTGAAATTAAAAAAAAAAACTATTATTGACAATATTGAATGTTTGTTAAAGAATAATATTTATTCATCTGTGTGCATATACCGTATTGAAAATAACAGAAAAAAATCTTTCGCCAAAATAACTGATACAGTACCTAAAACTATAGGTACGACCTATAGTTATACCTATAGTCTGTTGTAAATGGAAGACTTCCAATTAACAAAGGCTTTTGTTCCATTTTGCATCCACAGAATGCATAGATAAAAAAAAATTTTAGGCAGATACACAAGTTTCATGCACCATTTTTTTTAAATAACCATAAGTGGTGGAATCTCGTAGACCTTGTCAATTGTTAACATTGCCCTCTATCATTCGAAAAAATTCTCAGCGATAAATCATATTTCTTTCCGAAACAAGCACACCTCGCGTGTACAGCGATTGAATGTGCATGAATGCGAACAAATTTCGTAATGAAACGAACCACTAATAATACGCACAGCCTTCATAAATCGTCGGTACATTGGTGGGGCTATTTGGTGCAACTTTTTGTTATCGAATCATTAATACGTCGGCTTTGTTACGCATACACTACGCATATATGCACACTTGGATAAGGGCCCAAGTATTATTGAAATAATTATATTTGGTATAATTAATTGACGTTTTTAAACGACTTCAAATAAAGTAGGATGGTCTCATTTTGTGTTTGTTACCTCAAGAATTCCATCATTTATGAATAGACTTAAAAATTGATTGACTCCAGAGATATAGTGTATAGGGAGTAAGATATTTAGAGTCAGTTTTGCTTTAAATTCATAAAAAAATTGTGTTGATACATGAAATATTTTTGCATGCATGCTATCATGCTTTTTGCAAGCTTATCTATGTATGTCGTGGCAAAACATGCTGTCCAAGAATATTCATCACAACTTTTGTATACCATGTTTTATGCAAATAAACTATTATTATTATTAAATGTCAAAACACTGCAATTCAAAGAAAATTTCGGGCTTCATATTGAAATAATTTCGGGCTTAGTACTGAGGCTTATTTATGCATTACTTTGATATATCCCGTGCGTGGTAGGTGGGAAGGAAGGGGAAGTGTGTCTTACGCTCTCTTCGACACACTGCAGTACACTTGCGAACAACGAAGCAACTCGGTATTCTATCGAGCAACGGTTTCGAGTGTAGCACTCGACGGCACTAGGCGCGACTGTACCCACCTGCGCAATGCCCTTCTGTATGCACTCCTCGAGGAGGTCGCCGGCGTCGCTGAGGTTCGAGCTGTCGGAGGTGTCGTGCTGCTGCTGTTGTTGCTGCGGTGGTTGGGCGAGCGCGGGGGGCGTGGCGGCGCGGGGGGCGTCGGGCGCGGGGGGCGTGGGCGCGTCGGCGACGGGGGGCGTCGAGTCGACGGAGAGCGCGGAGAGGTTCGAGTTGCTGCCCGCCTTGGAGAGGAGCGCCGGCGTGTCCTCCGTGAAGTACACCTTGCACGTGTCGCCGGGCGTACGCGCGCCCGCTACGGACGAGTTTATCGTTAGTAAGGCGAAGGAAAAGATAATTAAAAAATATATATATTTCGAAGACATGTGAAGTCCGCCGGTCCGCGGTGGGTTCGTGGTAGACTATGCCCTAATATCCTCTGACGGAGAAGGCTTTTGCTCAACTGTAGGACATATATTACACAGACTGTTACTTCACTTTAATAATACATCTCGTTTTTACGTTCGGAAACGGAGGGATGATTATGTCAGAGTTGGAAAAGCAATAGACTCGGCACGTGATGCCGCCTTCGTTTGTGATTGGCTATAAAATGTTACCTTTCATAGGTTCAATAGTCATCCCGGTGACGACCGGCATCGGCGGTGTTTGTTGTCGCCTGAAATTAATTTAAAAAAAAGATCTTTTTATGGGACATAATTTTTCGCCGATGGATAACAAGAACAATAAAGATATTACGACACGTTCAATAACAACCTTGCGACATTTGCAATAGAGTTCACAATACCTGTCGGTGACGGCGTCGGGCCGAGGCTTCGGGACGACGGCGGCCGCAGACTCGGGTGGGGTAGTGCTGCGCCGTGGCGGTGCCTGTGGAGAGGAGTTGAGTTAGTTGAGAGTTGAGCCGAGAGGTCACGCGACCACCAGCATCGAAAGGTCACGTGACCCCAAACATCGAAAGGTCACGCAACGCCTAATATCACTAGGTCACGCGACCCCCAACATTAAGATGTCACGCAACTCGCAGCGCGAAGAGGCCGCATGACCCCTGTGCTGCGGGCAACTAAAACGCTCTCGTTGCTACGTGAAGGTGATGCGGATCTCATCTTCATTCTCAATGTTTTACATATTCGAACGTGAAGAAAGAGTAATGTGTAAACACAGACAATTTAACTGTGGTAGGGCCACGCAGCAGCCTCGGCTGTTGCACGAATGGGCAGGCTCATCCGGGTAAGTACCACGACCTCACAGAAGACCGGCGTCAAGTAGAAGTATAATACTTTCGCGTTTCGTCTGGTCAGTGCGGTAGCCGGAGCCCAATTTTCAAAAGGTTGTCTTCTGCCATAGGTTTACTTAATTTAATAAACCGGTAATCAGTTAACATAAAGGTAACCGGTGCATGCCATGAGCATTCACAACACCAGAGTGCTTTAGATGCTTCACCAACTAGGTCTATTACCAATTGACAGACCTAGAAGTAGCAGCTATCCTTAAATTCCCTGTTCTAATTCTTCTACTTTTTCTACTTCTAATTCTTAATGGGACGAGATCTCAAATCAAAACTGGGCTTGCGGAGTATGTGTTGGGTGTTTCCAATTTCAAATCAACGGCGGGGGTTCCTCATAATAAAAATGTTTTCTACCTTGGGCTCGTCGTCGATGGTGAGACTGCTGAGGCTGGTAGCCGCGGAGAACTGAGCTGGTGTGTGCTCCACCACGAAGCGGGAGACGCGCTCTTCGAACACGGACGTCACGGGGCAAGGCTCCTCTGTAAACAATCACAGAATATTTTTTATGTGATTATGATTTATATGCGTCTCCGACCGTAAATCAACTCAATAGGAACCGCTGACTAAAAGACAATAAATTTGACCAGACTAGGAAGTGATGTAACATGCTCATCTTCCATGTTCTAACAAATAAATGTTTCTTTCTTTCTTTCTTTAACTCTTGTTATCGCTTAAAACATGTCTTTGCGTGTGTATTTGTGATATCTATGTGCGTGTGTGTTTGTGATGTCTTTGTGTCTGTGGTGTGGTTGTGTTGCGTATGTGTGTTTGTAATATCTTTGCGTGTGCGTTATGGGTGTTTCGCATGTCAGGTTGTGATGTCTATGTGTGTGTTTGTAATATCTTTGCGTGTGTGTTATGGGTGTTTTGCATGTAGGTTTGTGATGTATATGTGTGTGTGGTTGTGATGTCTTTGTGTCTGTGGTATGGGTGAGTGCGTTGCGTGTGTGTATTTGTGATGTCTTCGCGTGTGTGCGTGTGCGTGGCTACCTGTATTGTGGGCGAGCAGATTTTCGTGGGCGGCGGGGGCGGCGGTGGCGGGCGGCGAAAGTGGCGCGCTCTGTCCCGGTGAGTCCGGGATCTCGCTCGGCGATATGCAACCCGACGTTAACCGGCTGTGTCATTGAAAAGTTTATTATACATGTAAGTATTATTTATAGATATCTTTGTGTACAATTTTTGTATGTGTAATTTATTAAGGGTTATTTTGCCTGTAGTCGATTATTTAAGTTTTTTTAATGGGAATTCAACGAGAAAAAACTCTACACTGCATTTATTATTAGGTTTACGAAGGGCTCGACGTCTTGGCACAAGTCTTAATTCACGCTATCACGAATGGAAATGCTTATACTATTCGCCTAGCGGTAGTCCTCACGATAGCTGATCTGCCATCTGACCGCTCACCTGACTTCCGACACAATGGATCCCTGGTCGTCCTGCTGCGAGCATTCGGGCAGGGAGCCCAAGGAGCTGGAGCGGGAGAACATGAGGGGGGTGTCCTCGACGAAACGCTGGGCGGGCGAACCAGTGCGCGCTGAAGCTAGTCCAGGTGTCTCCGGTTGAGAGACGAGCGGTTCCGTGGCGAACGTCACGGCTTTCGAGCCTGCGGGTACGTGTTCGATTTGTATTTTGTGTGGAAGCCTTCGAATACATTGTTAACACATATAGATTTAACATTATCGTGTGCTGTAAGGAATTTTCAAATAAATTTACGTGGACAAACACCCAGATCCGATATAATTATCCGTGTAATCGAACCAAAAGCCAATATCACCTCGGTGACTGCGCCACGGAGTCATGAAGAATTCGATTTGTTGATTTTTGTTAAATAGATCTGAGCTCAAAATGCTCATGTATTGGTGTCTATGTTGTAATTAAATTCGAGAAAATAATGTCAATTCAGAAATAATGTAACGGAACTTATATATAAGTATAAACTGCAAACGTATTTATATGAATCTAGTCTAGTATGCACAGCCTAAAAGATTAGAGATAAATGTGACTCGGATAAACTTACCCTCTTTGTCTTTCGACGAGCTGCTGTTGCTTTGCTCCTGAGGACTGGGCTCGACGTTGATCGTGGCCTGCGCGTTCTTCTTCGCCAGGCAGTCCTCCTCGGTGGGCTCGCCGAGACTGCTCAGAGAGCTGACCCTCGAGAAACAGCCGGGTGTGCCTTCGTCACAGTAGTTCACCGGCTTCTCGGGGCTTATCATGCCCGAGCTGAACTTGGTATCGAACACGGCTCGCTTCTCAGGCGTGGGCTCGGTCGACTGCGGCTGGGGCTCCACGATGGCCCTGTCGTTGTCGTGTCTCGGCGGATCCTCGATGGAGCAGGTGTCCTTCTCGTCCGAATGGGTCATCGCTTCCGGGTGTTCCTTTGTACTAGGCGCGCCCTTCGGTTTGCCGTCTTTGCCGATCACCCGCAAATCCGACATGGACGTGGCGGTCGAGAAGATGATGGGCGTCTCGTACGGCGTTCCTTCCGTGGCGAAGTGCTTGATGGTGTCCTCGTGGACTGACGGTCCAGGCGGCTCGGAGATGTCGGAGCCGTTCTCCGATTGGTGCTCAGCGTAGCGGAGGGAGTAGTCCGTCGGCTGGTCCAAATCGGTCTCCTGATAATCGCCGAAGGTGTTCGCGTTGTCCTTCTTGTACTTCTTCGGCTCGGAGGAGCTCTTGGTCTTCTCGCTGATACTCTCAGCGTCGACGGTTTTGGTCTCGGAGTACTTCCGGCTGTAGTCTATCGGCTGGTCGCAGGAGTCCTGGTCGACGTCGTAACCGGACTCCGTGTAGTTCGTCCGCATGTCCGTTGAGCTCCTCGGCGGCGGTATCGGCGGTTGGCTGTAGCGGAGGTACGCGTTATCTTTGTCCATTGTTTTCGAGGTCGCCTTGAACGCTTCGCCCGACGTCTCCGATTTCATCAAGTCCTTACTTCGGGGTGTCGGCACCGGCACTTTCCCAGTCCGCATGACCCTCTCGAACACGGAGTCGGAGTGTGTGCTGGTTACCGAGTCCTTGCTGTCTGAGCGGTTCACGTTGCCCGCGCTGCCAGTATTCGACCGCGTCACTAGAGCTCCTTTCAGGAGCGTGTTGCTGCAGCTTAGGTAGCTCGCCAGATGGGCGCTGTGACTTAGCGATATCTGGGAGGCCAGCGTGCCCATGAGCGGAGAGCTTGAAGTCATCCTGTGCCTCTCTAAATTCATGGCGATCTGTCTCTCCGTTGCCGTGAAGAGGTTCTTCTCCTCTCTATTACTCGTCGTCGGGGATGTGGCCGGTTCTATGTTGTCGCAGGTCTCGGCGAGGTTCTGGTCGAGCTCTTGCTCCAGAGCCTTCTGTTTGCGAACGCCGAGGGTTGGCAAGGCCGGTAGGTTCATACTTCTGGCGGTCGTGTCCAGAGCGATTATGTGCGTCTTGCCGGGCTTGGAATTGAGCAGGTTCTTTAGGGCTGCACTGGAGCCCATCGCGATCATTTTGTGTTTGGAATGGATGAGGCTTCTCAGCATTGGGACGGCGCCGTGGTCCCATAAGAACTGCTGATCTAGCTGGCACCTCGCCGATAGGTTCCACAGGGTGCCACAAGAGTTGCTCACCACAGTGAGGCTCGGAGACTTGAGGTGTTGCAGTAAGACACTCAAACAATTTCTCTCGCGGAGAATTTGCCTGTAATCTTCGCGGACGGCGATGTGACTCGACACGTTCCTCATTATACCACCTGCGTTCTCCACTATAGCCAGCGTCTTCGTGGGTGAATTGTAACTTAGCATGTCGACTAGGAACCCTAAGGCCCCGTCGACTGAGCATAAGGCTACTTTGTTCATAGAACAGTGGGCGGTGAGGTTCCAAAGGGCTGACAGCACGGATTTCAGAGTCGCCTCCTTTTGGCAGGTCATAGCGGCTTTAGTAAGCCCCTTAACAGCCCCCACTTCTCTCAAAACCTGTTTGCTATTAGTGTCCGCTCTCCAAGATAAGTTTCTTAACACAGCGGCTGTAACCTGCAACGTACCAAGTTTTTAATTGAGTATCTCGATTTTAAGATTTAAAATTTTGATGATCGAAAGCACTTTAATTTAAGAAAAAAAAAACTATTCAAATTGAAACGTTAATGTAAATGGAATTTTCAAACCTAAGAATAATCAAACAAATAATTCATCCTTTTATGAACCTACAACAGATAATAAAGGATATAAACTAAACGTAAATAAGCATAAGGACTTGCCTGTCGCATATCGTCGTTCGGGGATTCCAGTTGTTCGACCAGCGCCAACATGAAATCCTTGAAGGAGCACAGCAGAGACTTGTTGTTGCCGTCGCCGAAGGTCAAGTTGGTCAGCGTCATCCCCGCGTACTTGCGCATGGTCAGGCAAGTGTTGTCGTCAGTTCTGCTACCATGTGCCGCCTGATCGCCGCTTACTAACGCGGCGAGCGCCTGAAGTCCCCCGAGCTGGCACACAACATGCCTGTGCTCTTCGTCGAACGATAGCTTCATAAGAGCTGCAACGCTTTGGCTCGGATGTTTGGTTGCGTCGTCTTCTATAACCTCCTTTCCTTCCCTCCTCGTTTCTACCAAGTCCTCTAAAACGTAACAGTACTCACGCACCTGTTCGAGCAATCTCCATACTCTCGCCTCTCGTCTACCTGCTTTGTCGTCGGTTTGCGTGTGAATGATGTTGCGCAGTGCTTTTGCGGCGCGATCTCTAGTCTCCCGTGGTACCTTTGAATGAATAAGCTGAACCAGTAGGGGGATACATCCAGCTTGTCGCATTGCTATGCAGCTTTCGACTGATCTACTCATGTCCAATAAGGGTCCGCTCAAGTCAGCGTTATTTTCTGGTGACAAGCTTAGCAGAGATATTAGGGAACACACACACTCCATTTTATTTTCCAGATTGGAGGAGGGCCTGGGGCAGTTACTTGAGCCATTACTCGAAAAGCTTCGTACGCTGGCGGTATCTTGGCCGGTCCACACGTCTCGCTCCCCAGGCCAGGTGCCTCTGTACAATTGGGAGGCACGTTTGTCCCGTTCGCTCGACCTGGCTGCGCTTTCCAAGCCGTAGTGCAATGTACTCCTGTAATTTGTTCTGTGGGGCCTCTCCTCTTGAGCAGTGTACGTGGAAGACTGTGGTTTCGTCGGCCTCTTCGGCAACGCTCCGGCTCTCTTTTGTGCTTGACCCTCTTCACCGTCTATTTCATCGTCAAGGAAGTTGGGGTTTGTTATGTCGCTGCGTTCGTCAAATTCGTCGGGCGACGGGGAATGGTCTAGGAAATGCGGTTTTGGTATACGGCATTCTATGTTTGAACGTGACGGCGGCTGGTAGTCGTCGTCAAGGAAATGCGGCCGGCGCGGGAGTGGGTCTGGCTCTAGGGTCTCTAGCTCCAACGTGAGGTCCCGGGAACGTGTCTTGTCTGTTGATTTGGAGGGGCATTTCGTTGCGTTACTTAGTTTAGTGTCTTTTGGGTCCGGTAAGCGACGCGCCTCGGGGGTAATTGGGCTAGAGGTATTTTGAGGTCCGCTTGAGGTTGATGGTGTGCAGTCATCGCTAGCAGAGGGTCCCGAATCAGTTAATGGTGAATTTGAGGAGTCCATGCTGCTCCAAGGATCTACCATTACTTCGTTCTCCAACTGAAACAAAAAGGAAATCCTTTATTTCCGAATAAACATTGATAAAAGTGAGCCAAGGTTGCCTCGCAAAAGGTGATCAAGATTAATGGAGTTTTAAAAGGTCAGTGTAAGTAACCAAAAGAATGCCAAAATTATGTCAATATATTGTATCTTGATACGAAACGGAACTTTAAAATATTCATTATTTAGTATTAATGTAATAGTGTATACAATAATTTATGATATTTATGATTGATATATTGACTAGTGAAAGACTCATTTTTTCCATTAATTTAAAAGTATTATCGATTGTAAAAGTTTAGATTTTACGTCAAATTAATTGAACAACTTTATTATGTAAAGCAAACTAATTTGATTTTTACTAAACATATCTTTGTTAAAATAAATAACATACATTTCAATTTAAAGTAATATTTTCTATTTGGCCAATTCATTTATAAAGAAAAATTTAATTAAAGTCGAACTGTAACAATAGCACAAGCGAATTCTATGTAAAATTTACAACTTTTATTGTGATCTAATTGCCATTACATTTGTTATCTATATGGTTGTTGTATGTTAATCTAAAATGAAGAAAAGAAAACATTGTATTCAGCTGTGTGGACCGTTTTCCGGATAACGAGGATGGATGTTAAACTGCTAACTGGCGCTGTCAAGGCCAGTTGGTCAGATGGAGAGCTGGAGGGAGCCGCGTTATTTGTAGATACAAACGGAATACCGGTATTTGTAGCCCGGGTTTATTTGTGGATCAATAAAACCAGTTACGTCACTGAACTGATAGTCATTTCAATTACTTCAGTACGTTCACAATAGCGGCGCTCGTTTCCCATTGTTCAATAATTTATATAACACGGCGACACTATGAAGATAATTATTGTCATTCCTTATTGATTTATAAAAGAATTGTCAAAGAAACAATTGTCATCATCATCGGTTTCTACAATTAATATAGAAATAATTTTTCATAAAACTTTTCCCTGTTTCTTTAACATCACTGATCAAAGTAAGAACTGACTTACGCAACATTGAAATCGTTATAATCGTTCTTTCCTCTATGTTTTCATTCCAGTAACAAAGTCATTATGTAATAAAAACTAAAGGAGTTGTGCAAAAATATAATATATTTTAATAGACTACAGAACCGGATCAAAATGGACTGAATTAAAGAAATGCGTAACATCAATTCCTAAGTGCGGCGTGATGGTCATGGCAGAAATCTGCTGCAAAACTTCCGATATTGCAAAGCTGGTCGCAAAAATAAACTTTTGCGGAATTTAGTCGAAGAACATAGTTAGAATTTATAACGGTACTTTGATAAAATTATTAGCAGACGACTCACGGTGTATCCGCTCATAACGGCACGCAAACAACGCGCAATGCAGAATTCCAAGTACGGGGATAGTAGGATGATTCATCGATTAGATGAAACGTTTCCTGATTGTGTGACAAAATCACGATAGATTCTAAGGTTTTTGTTTTATTATTTTAATATATTTGGATTGTGCTCGAGTCTGAATGGCATCACCGAGAACATTTCACGACAACTTGGTTGAGATTGTCTCTGGTACAATGATTGTATGTGTTATATGTTTTTATTCTTCTTAGTAAAGATATAGTTATAGTAATAACAGCCAAAAAATTCTGCGACCCCATGCTGTTATGTTGGGTTGCGAATTATGACCGAATGCGTCCACCCAGTCATAACTTTGAATACGTTGTAAACCTCGTACCGTTACAGCTTTCATGATGGACCTGCACGTCCTCCATTTTTCCACAAATGACCGATGTAAAAACCTCGGTATTAACATTGTCATTAAGGCTGACGGACCATCATCTTCGCATCGGATGCTCGTCCGTGACATTTTAACGTGTAAGTATGATTTCGCTCTACATAGTTTTACCGTTCGGTATAAAGGAAATTATAAAATCATTAGTTTTAAATAAAAAATAAACATCATCCCAGCTAAATCTAGAAACAAAACATGTAAATGCAGGGTTGTGATGATTTAAACTATATTTTTAACATCATCATTTCAGGCTCTTTGAGTCTACTGCTGAACATAGGCCTTTATTCCACAATTTTTAATTGCTTAGTCTTCTTTTCAAAGTGGCGTCTTCGTACCCCGCATCGCCGGTTGGACTTATCGCAAGATCATATGTAACGTAAGATTGCGTTAATCTTAATGATGTTGTTTTTACTTGGATGGTTTCCAAAAATTCATGCATCTTTCCTTAATTCACTGACAAAGATTCGTGTGGTAGAAACAGGTCAAGGTTTACAAACATGAAATTACAGGAAATTCTTGGACTTTGAAGGGGATTGTTTTCGAGAGCTTAATATTAAATTACATACTTGAAATATAATATAAACTCATATATATACATATACAAAAGCTGGTCGTAGACATTTTATGCCAAATACGTTAGCCTAGAAATTATAGGTCTTATACAAATTCTTTAGATCATACTTAAGACATGTGATAGGGCCCGTGACGCACCAGTCTTCGCTGTTGCGCGAATGGGCAGGCCGGGGAACTACCACGGCCTCACAGAAGACCTTCTCACTTTATAAAGGGTGGCAACATATCTGCAACAACACGGGTATTGCAGAAGAAAATGGGCGGCGGTTATCATTTTACATCAGGCGAATTGCCAGTTTACTTGCCACCGTTTCACATAAAAAAACACTGGATCAAACGCAGACTTTTAAAGTTCAATGATCTAACGTTAGTCTGTCACCTACTTATTTATTTATTGTTTATGCATAAAGAAATGTACAAATTCTTGGATTTACTATAAATGTTGTTTTTTGTTATTAATGTAATTACAACATAGACTGTATCCAAACTTTGGTAACCAACGGCTATGTCTCGAAGGGTAAAATGTTGATTTTGTCACGTAATGGACACATCATAGCTCAGGCCGCACTGGATGGTACAAATTTGATATACATGGTATATATTTATACAACTAGTCATAATCGACGAATTTTCTATTAACATGGCAAAGATCGTGGGTTCTAAACTCATGAAAAACTGACAGTTTGCTGCTGTTCAAGATTATACGTAATCAGGATTCATTATTATAATATCTCTTTTATAATATTTTGCTGTTTTTTTATTTTTTGCCTTTTTTATTTTTTGTCTCTTTCTTATTATCTTAAAATTTAAACGAGCAATTCTTGTATATATATATATATATATAATCGGAATCTCGGAAACGGCTCCAGCGATTTTCATGAAATTTAGTATGTGCATAGATTCGGGGGCGAAAAATCGAATTAGCTAGGTTTAATTTTTAGAAAATGTCCTTTTATCCCTGTTTTCAGGGAATGAAAAATATAATTCGAATATGACGGTAAATTTCGCCGCAAGAGAAAATGTCAAAATAGCTCGGTCGTCTGTTTTGGGGGCGGCCCCAAAACAGACGGCCGTGGTTCGTGTCACGATCATTTACACATTTATTTTTTTACTTTTTTTTCGATTCCAGATCATTGCTTTCTTTATTTTTAATTTTTTGTGGATTTGTTATTTTGTTATTTTTTTTCCCTTTTTTTTAAAGTTCTTTCTTTTGTGAAAAACATCAGTTCATATTTTCTTATTATTACGTCGGTAAGATCGAAAAATATTATGCATATTTCATTACTCAATAATTTGTATCTAAATGTAATTTCCAAAATACACGATTTACCAAAAAAAAAAAAAACAAACAAGTCCTCCGGGTACTTATCTTAAAACTCGCACTTCATATTTAGTGATTCAAAGTACTTATTTGGAATAACTTTATATTACTGGTATTCATATGAATTTTTTCCTTGCACTACCTATATTTGAATAAAAATAGAATTAATTTATAGTAAACATTGTAGGTAACATAAGTGGACACACTACTTCCGCCTTAGTCACATTTACATTTAAATAAGGGACGCAATGGCAGGAAGTATTTGCTTGGCGACTAAACAGACATAAACAACACAATAGTCTGCGTCCGAAACATAACCGTACCGAAAAGCGGACAATGGTCCATTAGAATAGTTATCTAATATCTATCTTTCACGATTATATAGTGGCTTAATTAAAACGGACTGTAGAATGTCTTATGCATTTAATTACGGACCAGTGATCTTAGTAAAACACTACAAACAAATATTTTTCAAATTACTCACAATTTTACACCATCCACTTCGATTGGAACACGCATTTCTTTAAGTCTGGAATAATGCCATTGAGTCGTAGTAAAGCAAATTTCTTTCCCAAGAGAGATCTCTATAAACAGTGGAGTAGAAAACTTGGCCATTGTACAATTTTCATTTGAGTTTTCGAAACTAACGCGTTAGTGTGTTCTTATGCTTATGAACACTCCAATAAATAAACTGTTTTTTCATTTACATAGCACTTTAATGGAACAATTAATTAGCAGAGCGTTTTTATAGTGACGTAAAAAGGAAAACTGATATGCATTAGAATTAAACCAGACTGCTTTTTAGTTGTTGAGTCATTAAATGGATTACAACAACAAATCGCGCGGAAGTGAGAGTGTTTGCCATTTGTATCGTCAGATAACCCTGTTTGTTAAATGAAACTATGTTTGCGGATGTATCGCGGTTATTTTAAGTTTCAATTCCCGACGTTTCGAACCGTTTACAGTCTGTCCCGTGACCATGAGCGCTGTAGTAACGTGAAATCGCGTAAATAAAAGAAATTATTACCCTATTTGTGTACCGCCGCACTTACCAAGTCGCTATCGTTGGACGTAGCCACGTCATCCAGCGGATTTCCATTCTCGACGTCGATGCCGGAGTCGTCGGGATCGCCACGCCTCCTCGCCTCGCACTTGTTTGCCCCGTGGTAGTTGCTGCGTATAGCGTTGAAACTGATGCGCGTGTCGGCGCTAAAGTCGTCGAACAGTTTGTACTGGTTGGCGTTGAACTCCGTGTCGTTGTCGAGCACGTCGCCGCTGTCTACGCTCGATAGCAACCTCCTGTCGGTCGATCGGTTCCCGTAACGCCTCGCTCCCAGTTCCATCGCATCGTAGAAGTCCCTCGCACTCATCTTTTCGACTTACACCGATTGGGAGACAGTACAACTATTCACTCACGGCATCGTGTTCGCGGTGTGACGAGGTTGAAAATCTAACGGATAGCGGCGATTTGAGTCACTCGTGGCGGTTGCGTCGTAAATGACAGTGTAAGTGGAATCGTGTTGGATAATATCTGTTTTAGTAGCGAATATTGTAATTGGTAAATATTAGTCCTGTCAGGCAAAATATGACTGATTACTATAATGTATTTATTAGAAAATTTGTTACGATTATGGTTTTCTTATGGCTTCCTAATTGAATACACTCGGTATTCAATTACGAAACCATAAGAATACATTTTACCTTTCTCAAGAATTGAGAAAAATAATCTTTTTTTTTCTTTTTCTTTAAAAAATCGCTATAAAATCCTTAAAAACCTTTTATCTAACCAATTCCCTAGGGCATTTTAAATACTTGTTCCAGTCTAGTTTCAATAAGGTAAAAAAATGCGTTCCGAATGTATTCCGTGCTAAGTTAGCGGTTTTTTGATTCACCACTAAAACCATGCGCCGCATGCGTAAAAGTAACAAAGTTACGCCGAAATTCGATCGTAAATCGTCCGTTGCTCCGCGTGGGGAATAAACAAAACCCGAGGTAATAGAGCCCACACCTCCCGTAGCACGAAGTGGGTCAGCAATATTCATAACAACGGATTTAGAACCGTTGGGGGCCCACTGTTTTATTGAACAACTGCGGTGTGGAATGTGCAAGTGTTAACTTCCATCTGTTCGTTGATATTATAGTTGAGACAGATTCTTATTTCAAAAAGTATTTATATATATATATATATATATATATATATATATTCAATATCTCTTTCAATCTTCTTTCCTTATTCCACCTAGGTTGGGTTGGCAAACCGTATGAATAAAAAATTCGGAACAAACACCCAGATCCGGAACGGTCGAACGATCTGTGGGTCACACAAATACTTGTCTAGTGCGGGAATCGAACCAACGACCCCCAACGCAGTAGCCAATCGCTTAGCAACTGCGCCACCTAGTCAACAAACAATAAATTTTGAACTGCTACAAAAGAATTAAGATCCGTGATTGTTCAGTGTCCGGGCGCTCGCCTTTAATTCAATATATTTGAGCAACCTGAGTTCGATCCCCGGTGCCGGCACCAATGAAATTGTTAATTTCAAGTGCTGAATTATGATATGTGAAGTCCACCAATCCGCAGTGGGGCCGCGTGGTGGACTATGCCCTAATACCCTCTGTACGGAGGAGGCCTTTGCCCAGCAGTAGGACATCTACAGGCTGATACTTTACTTTTTTTCCAAATAAATAAACATATACAAGTTGATCGTCGCATTGTTTTAATCATCATATATTAAGATATATTGATACGAAGGAAATATTTTCACTTGTAGCAAGTCTTGAGTATTTCCCGAATAGGTAACATCTTGTGGCCAAGAAAGCACGAATGTCACAATCGGGTAAGGGAGATAAAATGACTGCGAAAGAAATCCATTCATGCTGTTGGCTTGTTTAGATAACTCTGACATTGCGTCCGGATGAGAAGGGGGTTTCTAGCACAAGGCTAAAGTGTTAACATCGTTAACTGTTTCCGATTTAGACAGACTTTTGTATCTTTTGAGACTGATAAAGGTGACGAGTAGAGCACAGCTCTTTATTTATAGCGTCAGCGATAAAATTGTATAATGTTTAAGAAAATTATGACGACGTCTACTAAGTATTTCAGTGTATAAACGGGAAAATAAACTCAATCCTTTTTTATTTCATTACAAATTCGTGCAACCGAGGAGATTGTCGCGTGGCCCTGACAGAGTTGGATATAGTTATTCCGATAATGGTATCATGGATCCCGGGGAACGTTTAAATCAAAGAAATACCACAAAAGAGAGACGACAGCTGCGCTACCGAGCCGGATCTATCGACTCGAAAGAAAAGCGAAAAAAAATTAATTAAATCCATTGGACGACTGCCCGATTCCATAACTCACACAAACAGATGAGAGATGAGTCGCTAAAAAAATTCAGTTTGTTGTCTTAACCAAAGTTACGGTTCTATTTATTGCCGAGGCACCGATTTAGCTCCGGGATGTTTGGTGATATCGTAGGAGTTGGCAGAGTGCCCGAGCCAGCGCTTTGGGGTTTTGGAAATTCTCTCATTACTATTTCTGATGTTACGTCGCTAGGAAGAGCGGTTTTCATGAATGAAGTGTAAATGTATGTATGTATGTAATTTGTAACGCTGAACGTTTTACTACGTACACCATTTTAAGGTGTTATTATACATTAGGAATAGAGAAACTTCTTTAGGATCGAGATGCAACGTCCCCTTGCTATATTTAAAAAGGAAGCTGGGAACGAGAGATGCGGGCGATGTCTGTTGTTTCCTAGACAAACCACAGAATTGTTCAAATATTTTGGCCGGTATCTGTTAATAGTAACGGTCACATTACGCATTGAAATATAACAAACATAACAACTGCGCTGTACTGTTTGGATTACGTAATACGGTTGCAGAAGCGTAAACTTATTTTGAATTCAGAGATCAATAGCGAGAGACGGAACCCAACTGTCGGAAAACGAATCCAATACTTTTCACATATTCTCGACACCAAAAAATATCAGATTCTATAAATATTTCACTTAAATCATCGTTGTTATATGCATCGATTAATTTATCATATCCATTACCATAAGTATCTAATACAACTATCTATATACTTGTATATAGATACTATAAGTAAGTATGTATATATATCCATAAGTATCTATATATAAGATTAGATATGCATTGTTCTTACTTTTTTATGTGAGAACGTGGCAAGCGAGCTGGTGCTTCAACGAATGTTAAGTGATAACCGTCGCCCATGGACATCTGCCACACTCGAGAGTTCCAGATGTGTTGACAACCTTTTGGAAATTGGGCTCCGGCCACCTCACTCACCCGACGAAACGCGAAAGTATTATACTTCCACTTTACGCCGGTCTTCTGTGAGGTCGTGGTACTTACCCGGACGAGCCTGCCCATTCGTGCAACAGCCGAGGCTGCTGCGTGGCCCTACCACCGTTAAAGATTGCAGATGCGTTGCCACCTTAGAATAAAGTGGGCTCCGGCCACCTCGCTCACCAGACGAAACGCAGAAGTATAACACTTCAACTTCACCATTCCTTGCCCATTCTTGCAACAGCCGAAGACTGTTGCGTGGCCCTACTACAGTTTAAGTTACGTCGAAATAAATTCCAATTTAATAGCGTAAAATTCGCAAGCATACATCGAGATGTAGGTAATTAATTAGCATTAGTAGCATTGGGGCCATCCATTGAATCGGAAATAACTATTGCCAATTAGACATTCTGTAACATTTTTCTCTTAAAGTGTGTAACTAAAATAAACGAATCGGCTTCATTCACAAGAGTTCAAAAGAGTACTAAAATCGTTCCCATATGTTTTTTGTTCTAATAATATAATTGCACGTATATTAATTTTTTTTGTTCATTCGGTAGGCTGTGTTGCGATTTGATGGTTTTCGAAGACGCGATCGAATTCCACGTGTGTCCAAACATTTGCGTGGCTTCCACAGATTCAGTTCCAGAGATTAGCTCGTTCAAAAATACTTTTCAGCTTTATAATATTAGCATAGATCTGATACAATCACCGCAAATACACGACATACAATTCTAAAGGAGATAATTTGGATCAATTTTTGTCTGAACCCATCGATTGTTACGATCAACATGTGTGAATTCACATCAAAGCAACAAAAATGTCTTCGATCTGATGCGCCATATGTTGAACACGTTTCAACGCACCATGACAAGACGGAAAGAAATTTTATACTATGTATATAAAACAGAGACACTTGATCGGGCGGTGCGTGATCTTGTTAGCATAGAACAGAACCGATAAAATATATGATTAAATGAAACTATTTTGTGGAATTCATTTATTTAAAATTCCCACCGTTTCGAACACTTTTCAACGTCTTAGGACAGACTTCGTAATGTTCCATTCGAAAACTTAAGATCCTGCAACAGACGGGCAAGAAATGTAAATCCTCGATTTGTTTAATGAGTAAGTTTTATTTCACATTATTTTGGTTAGTACATTGCATTGTTTAACACGTATTTAATACACTCAGGGGTTGTAATTAGATTTTTCTTGTAGCAATTAGATTGCATAAATTAGTTTGGGCAATTTATTAGGTTCTCCTTGGTATACCAAGGAGAAATCAATAATTTTATTTGCTTAGACAGATTGTGAAAGGCGGCGGGGCACACATATTTCTATAGACATCTGCGGAAATCGATTATTAAAAGCAGAAAAGCTGAAGGTTAAACGATTCGTACGCAAGCGATGCGATGGACCGGATGGTCGATTTAATCGGAGATCGTAAATGCCGTTACGAAACTATTTGTTTACATGTTACACCAGATGGTTCTGCAAATATTCTACACGTAACACAAAGTATATGAATATTTTTTGCGATTTTACAAAGAGATAGTAAACTTTAAAAGAAAGTCTTTAATTTCGCTTGACGGTAAGTGATAATAAGTGGCATACAACACGAGAGCAGTTGCAGTCTCCGACCGTGTTATAGAAAGTAATTGGATCTCTTCTCGAATGCCTCTAATCGCAGTTTTGAATTGTCATCGTGATAACAGAAATATGATTGCGTATTGTGCCAAAATGCTCTCAATCAGTCCTTTAACCATTCCTTAATAAAATATAGAATTATATTAAAACTAGACCCCAAAGTTTCATGTCGGTTCACCTCTCAGCAGGTCTGATTTAGAGAGCAGGTAGTTTTCAACGCTTATAAGAGGATGCCTAAATTAAATTCTGACCGATGATTATAATTTTGAATAATAAAGCGACTTTTAACGAACACCAGCAATTTATAAGAAGATTAATGAAAAAAAAATGATGTCCTTTTCGACTCGATTATTGCAAATTTATCAATTGTTTACGGACGTGATAGTTATGCTTTCTCAAAA